ATGCAGGCAGGCACAGAGGCCTGCTTCATCAGCTCCACAATGATACTCGCTTCAACACCATCTGACTGCCAGTGGGTCAGCTTGATGGGCCCATCATCATACCGGTCGGTCATAAACAGCATCTTACTCCTGGCAACTGTGCCAAAGATGGCAGAGAGCTTTGAAGCCTCCTCTTCCTCAGGGTCACTGGAGGAACTGGTGTCCAAAGGGGGATGTAGATGGGAGAGCATGACTTTGCGCTGGTCATAGTATACTAAGATGATTTCTTCCTTCTTAGGGTTGTCAGAGTGTCTCTGAAGGGTAGAACAGCTCCAGAATTTGCTGTCTCCCTCCTTGCTTATCTGAATCCACGGCTCATGGGAGAATATTGTGCCAAGGTCTTCCAAGAACTCACTCAGACTCTCTTCTCTCTCCTGTTTGCTGTTGCTCCACGAGCCAACCACGGAAACACTGACCTTAGTCACCTGTTGGACTTGGCTGAGGTACTGCTTCACCTGGGCAGGGATGAAGGGGAAATGCACCACGGCAAGGATGACAGCAGAGCGCTGCTCTGAGATCCAGCGACCCACCAAAATGCCACTTTCTGCTGAGGAGCAGCAGGATGGAAAGAAGACCTTCAGGACCATGGCAGCGATCCTGGAAGAAAGGTACACCTGCAAATACAGAAATAGAAGTTGAGAATGACAATTAAATATAAGGACAATTTCAGCTGACCAAAGTCACTGGTGAGGAGGCCAGTCAAGTTTTAGAAGTCAAAGTCCAACCACTCACATAAGGACATCAGTGGCAGCCAACAGATAAACACACATCAGGAGTGTTTAGGAGGCTCCTAATCATCTGCAGTCTTTGAAGTAAGGGCTGGTGAGCCCAGAGCTTCTCAGCAAAGCCCGTCTCCCAGGCCTGGAGCAGCCCTGCATGACAGTACACTGATAAGCACAGCCTGTCAGACCAGCCAATACCAGCAATCCATCCAGCCTTGGATCTTGGATCTGACACTGGATGTGCCTGAGCACCTCCTAGGGAAGGGACCACCTAGCAGCACATCATGATGCCCTGGGCATGCTCCTATTACCAACAATCAAATATTGGTTTATGCTAGAAAGCCAGATAATTTCAGAACTTCCTTTCTCATCCAGGAACCTAGAGCTGTGCTCTGCAACAAACTCACTGAGCACCCTTGGTCAGATCCTTTTGTCTCACTCCCCTCACCTGGAAACAGAGACAATAATTTTGTCAAAAGGGACTATAGTGATTGAAGCTTATGTAGCAGTTTTAATTCATCAGCTACAAGATCCTAAAAAAAGAAGCGTCATCTCTGCTTTATCACTGGGTTTTATCCATTTTTTTTTTTCCCTGTCATTAAGAAATTATCTCAATGGCTTTGTAAGGCTTTCCCAAAAAGGAGCTTGGAGGCAGTTGACAATGTCTCTTTAAATAAGGTGGAGGTTTCTAACAGAACTATAATTGCAGTAAGGAGGGCGCTGGCGCAGAACAGTCGGCACCCGGCGCCCGTTGTCCTTTCCTGTCCTTCAGTGCTTCATTGGAGATGTGAGAAGTCCACAGGCCCCGAGGCTGGCTCCTCTGTGAGGAACCCACTCAGTCAGAAAGAGGAGCACAGAGTATTTATAACACACAGAGAGGACGCACCACGTTGGAGGTCCCTGGTGGGTTTGGTTTTCTCTCTTTTTAACACAGAACAATGGAGCTCGTGGACCGCGGCACCTGGCGAGTTGCTGCTCTGTGGAGGAGGTACTGGGGAAGCAGCAACGAGTGGTGAACCTGCTCCCAGCCCCACAGCCCTGCCAAGAACAGCAGGAGGAAATGTCTGCTCATGGATGAGTTGGCAGCCCCTCCAGGCAGTGAGGTGAAGTTTCCTTGGTGTGCAGCTCACTCCTCCGACAGGAAAAGCGCCGCAGTTCATGCGTTACGAAGAGCAATGGGCTGGTTTTGTTGTTTTGTTTTGGTTTTTTTCCTGGGACTGAATTTTCCCTTTCCCTGCAAAAATGCAAAGCATGGACCAAGATTTCCCCTCACACAGGTGTAAGGGGGCTAGAGGGAGGGTTTGCTCACAGCAAGGTGCTGGAAGCAGGCAGTGTCTGCAGGTGCTGAGCACCATCCCTCGCTGCCCCACGGACAGCTCACAGTGACATCTGGGACTTCCGGTCCTTTTGGGACTTTAGTTTGGATATTACAATTTCTTTACACAAAGAGTGGTTGGAACAGGCTGCCCAAGGAGATGGTGGAGTCACCAGCCCTGGAAGTATTTAAGAGAAATGTAGATAAAGTGCTTAACAACATGATTTAAGCAGTGAACAGGTAGATTAGGTTATGGTTGGGGGATTTAGGTTATGGTTGGGCTTGATCTTCAAGGTCCCTTCCAACCAGGATGATTATGTGATTCTATAATTCTTCCACCTCTCCTTCCTTGACTAGGGGGATAACCTTGTAGATGTAGTGTGTGAGGAAGCAAGATCTCAGAAGAACCTCAAATAAAGGATTTCAAGGAGAAAGGGAAGCGGAAAGATGGATCCAGGGAAGGGCAGGAAAATGGCAGATGTGACACCCTGAGACAGACAGGGTGCAGGACACCAGGTCTGGGAAGGACCAAAGACTTGCAGTACCACTAGAAAACGTCATCTTTCACCAAAGTTTAATGACTATTCGACCCAAATGGACTGAAAAACAAGACATCCAAGCTTATTTCTCACTTCTATTGAAATAGCAAAGACTCGGGTATTTTTTGGTGTGTTTTTCTGGAAGACCACGAGGACATCGATGGAGATGTCCCACCTAAAAGTTGTTCCTGAAACACACCTGGAAACCTTGGTGAAAATCACCTGATAGACACAATTAAAGTTTGAAATATAACTTGTCCCCTACATTTTGCTTTTCTTTCTTTCAGGAAGACTGCAGTGTGTCCAGGATTCTGGCCAAAACAAGTCTTCTTTTCAGTGCTTCTCCTGCCTCTTTGTCTAACTCAAGACTGTTAAAGAAACATCAACAAGCACGATGAGATTTGCTCCACAATTTGGCTGCAGGTTTGAAAAGGGATTTTCATTCTTTTTCCCTAAAAACCACAGACATATTCCCAGGAAAAGGAAACAAATTATATCAATACAGGGACTCTGAAAGGCAAAATAGCAGATTGGACACGTCAGGAATGCATATACACTCAGAAATTATTTAAAACAACTTAAATGTAGCCAGAGTGATGACATTCTAGCTATATCCCACCACCAACAGCTTAAAAGTGAAGTTTACTAATAACTGAATACTCTAAAAACTGACATCGAGCTCGATATTTTAAAGAACCCAGAGAAAAAGGAATAATATAAGTATCTGGGTGGGGTTTTTCAGTATTTCTGTTTGAATTACCAAAGCTACCACCAGTAATACTGGACAGGTAACTTTCTAAAGGTGATTTTTTAATACTTCTTTTTCCTCAGGAGATGTCGTGATACCCTCAAACAACTGTGACAAGAGACTTGCAGTGTCTCTGTCCTTCTTAAAGGTTTGTCCATCCACTGGACACTTCAGAGAAGAATTATCAATTGACTCTTCATTCAAACATTAATTTTTCACTGAGATTTTCTTTAAAGATAGGCACAGTCATCTGGGAAAACATCTCATGGAGGAGAAACAATCTCATCCCTCATCTTCTCCAGTTTTAAGTCTCCTCCTTCCCCAAGCTTTTAAATTAACTTATTTTCATGCAGCTAATGACTTTGGCTACAGCTCAGGTCATCTGAGCACATCACACACAAGCACATCATCTGTCCTTTGGCTGCTGCAGATACAGCAGAGATGACTCTGATACAATTTTCAGGCTCTAGAAAATATCTCCACAGTTGAAAAACAGCCAATGAACTCTTCAGATGTTAATGCAGCACACAGCAGTAACCAGGGAGCTGGCCTGGGAGCTCAGGCAGCAGAGCTGGTATTCCCGAATCCGTGCCTGGTTCTGCATCCTACTTGATTCGTTTTGACAGACTGTTTGAAATCTGAAGTTGACATTTTAAATGTCATCACAGTCAATTACTTCGCTGCTGTTAATTTTAACAGAAGTAGCCCACCAATACACTTAGTCCCTGCTCCCAACATGCCTCAAGTCTTCCAGTTCTGCCCATTGCTGCTGGAAAGCTCCAGCTTTTCCCCTTTGATGCCACGGAGCATCAACACAACCATCTCAGGCACAGCAAAACCAACAACGGACACCCCCTAAAATCCATCAGTGCAACCAACAGATCACGGAAGGACCCCAGGACTGACTCCTTGCAGAATTTTAGACAGAAAAGTTAAGAGCTGGATGTGGCCCCGCTCTCACCACACAAGCTGTCCTGTTGCCACCAGCCTTGCCAACACATCCTGACCCTGTGACAAACACTTGCCTGAGCATCCTCAGGTCCTTCCACAGGGTTTAGGGCCACCAGGCCAGGAGACACAGAAGTCACAGAATCACAAGAGTGGTGGGGTTGGAAGGGACCTCTGAAGACCATCACAGAATCACAGAATCTTAGGGATTGGAAGGGACCTCTGAAGAATATCTAGTCCAACCCCCCTGCCAGAGCAGGGGCACCCAGAGCACATCACACAGGAACGTGGCCAGGGGGGTTGGAATGTCTCCAGAGAAGGAGACTCCACAGCCTCTCTGGGCAGTCTGGCCCAGGGCTCTGGCACTCTCACAGCAAAG